AGCAGCTAGCCTCATGGTAATTATGCTATCATGGCAACATTCACACACATGCAAGGATGCTAAAACATAAATGCTTACCGAGTACTCCAAGCCAAAATAGAAACTAGTTAGTAATCATATGCATGATCCTAGTTCATGTTTAAAATGGCTAATGCAACACATGCAAAGATACAATCTAGACAGGCTCGGCTATCCTAAACATGGCATGTGAAATGCGACAGATAACACGTATTCAATTTGGAATTGAAATACAATGCAGTTAGCATGATATGCCGAGCCCGGTGTATGCAAGACAAATGTATGAATGCACGCATGCATAACATAAGGTATGCTAATTTAAATATGTCCTAATACTAACCATCGAAAGCAGGTAAGTAAAATGGAGAAAGAAGTGGGGGTTGGAAGACATGCACACACGCACCCACACTTATTACAAATTCGCCCTCGCTCGGAGGAACCAAAAGAATATACAAACTAATTAACCTACAAACTAATTAATTATTACAGACCACCTAACTAGTAGAAAGCAATAAACAGCCTCGGGAAGAGGGTCCGATGCATGCGTGCTCGGGTTTACTCGGAAATCCATCGCCATGCACAAGTTGCCTCTATTTTCCCTACTCTACTCCTCTGAAAATTGCACAACTCCCAAGGTATGCTCCATGGACACTGTGGATCACCACCGGCTAGGACAAATGGTCACCGACCATGGAAAGATGGTCATCGACCATTGGTTGAGCTCTCGGCCACAAATATTTGGTCGGTTGGCAGTATAGATGGCCGGCCAGCCAAAGCTTCCTGCAGAAACCTGTTTTGACAGCAGCAGAGGGCAAAACAAGGCATGGCAATGCATTTCAAGCAAATGTGTGCACCAACACACCCCTTATCATGTTTATGACTCAAAGGGGGATGGTACTCGATTCTCGGATCACCAATCGCGCATTTCAATGCATGACGGCCCAAGAAACCAAGTTGTGTATTTTAATGTCAAATGTAATGCACATAAACACATAAGGAACCCAACCTCAATCATGGTGATTCGAGAGGCATGGCATGCATGCCAAATGCAACCTAAGCATGTGAGCTAAATATGCAATATGAGCATGCAAGCAAGTAATGTACATTAGGCACACAACCTAAGCAAGCAAGCATGCAAGGCATGAAACAATGTAACAACATTTGAGAAACATGCAAAAGGTGGACTTAGACTAATCTGGGTAGCTCTCAAATAAGCCCAAAACAGTGGCCAAATGCTATGGAAATAAGGGCGAATGTTCATACAAACATGCATGCACACATGATCCAACACTTGAGCACAAAGAAACAACTTTTAAACACATTTAAAAGAGACTATTATGGACAAATGGAAAGCACATTAAACTCTAAAAAATACATGAGGGATGATGCCAAATCAACCTATCAATGCAAGGAAGGTATGCAACTATGTCCAAAACTCAAGGCAAGCCAAGGGGCTTAAATCATGGCTATGTGAAGGAAGTCCCAACGGGCCGAGGGGACTCAAAACAGTCCCAATGTAGATTAAGACAAGGCCCAAAACACACTTAGATGGCATCTAAATGGCCTACACAAGGGAGCATACACAAAGGTCCAAATATGGGGCATGAAACACCAACCTTTTAAAGCGTTAAAGGGGCATCAAATGCAAGCATACAAGCATGGATCAAGGATTGAAATATCATAACTAATGGTGTCAAACCACTGAAATGATGCAAATAGAGCATGGTAGAGGAGCCAACACTCAAAGCATACAAGCTAGATTGCATGGTAGCTATACAAAGCAAGTCATGGATGACCCAAACAACCAAAATCAGACCTAAATCATGCCAAAATATGCATAAAAGCTTCACATAGCTAAGCCAAAATCATGCTAGAAACAAGGCTCAAAGCACAAAGCATGTTAAGGCAATTTCATGGCATTACAAGACAAGTATGTTAAGCATGCATGGTGTGTCTAAACCAACTTAAAACAGTGCTATATCATGGCAAAATAAGCACAAATAACACTTAAGACATGGCCAACATGAACTCAAGAATGGTGCTTACACATGAGGCTAAAATGACACATTTTGAAGACAAAAAGGAGAGGGGATGGCCTTCTCCTGCTTAGGACCTTAAAGAACCATCCCCACCACTGAAATCCCTCAAGATTTCAGTAGTGAGGAGGCCCAAACAAGGTGGTCTCAGAGCTCACCAAAATAGCACAAAATGGGGGCCAAACAAGGCCTAAGAAGGATCAAACAACCCCAAACAACAAAGTGACCTTAAACAAATATTTAAATCACTCAAAAAAAAGACTTTTTTTAGTTTATGACAAAGCCCAAAACAGCATGCAAGATAGGTTAAAAGTGTGTGCAAAAACGGGGAATAAAGAGGGAGAAACTCACCCTTGAAGACCTTCTTCAAAATCAGCACTCCAGCAGGCTTTTCTGAGTCAAAGCCAAGTCTTGAGTCCCCACAAGACCCTCTAAGAACCTTAGATGAGTGGTGGTGGTGTGTGCTTAGGAGTTGTGGTGCAAAGGGGCCAAGAACTATGGACTTTGGTGCTTGGAATGTAGAGATATGGAGGGCAGTGTATGGCTTTTGCCTTAGACAAATTTCTTGGAACCCTTGCAATGGAAGAGGAGCTCTTCTTTTATAGAGGAAGAACGGTCCAAACTTCTCTTAGAAGCTTGGAGCAAAAAGGGCCAAAAGGGCCAAGCTTGTTGGAGAAACTAGACAAAAGGGCCAAGCTTCTTGGAGAAGCTAGACAAAGGGTTCAAGCTTCTTGGAAAAACTAGAACAAAGATTCAAAAGGTTCAAGCTTCCTCAAGAAGCTAAAACTAAGGGTTCAAAAGGTTCAAACTTTCTCAAGAAGCTAAAACCAAGGGGTTCAAAAGGTTCAAGCTTCATCAGGAGCTAAAACCAAGGGTTCAAAAGGTTCAAGATTCCTCAAGAAGCTAAAACCACGGGTTCAAAAGGTTCAAACCCCCTCAAGAAAAGGTCTCAGCCAAAAAAAGTGACCGATTGACCAAAATCAGTGGCCGGTCGACCAAACACAATGCCGACCGACCATCAATAGTGCCGATCGGCTATCACCAATGGCCGGTGGCAAGGAAACAAGGCCGGTGGCCTCAAGCCATGGCCGGTGAGGTGTGGGGATGGCCTACAAGCTATTTCCCACCCTTAGAAGCAAAACAACAAGTGTTTGATGCAAAACCAAACACAAAACAAACAAGTCGAGAGGCCATGAGGTAAGGCGTGTAGCCGAAATCTCCGAGAACTCAAGACGAACACAAACAAGGGTAATCATCGAGTGTTCAAATGATGACGTCCAAGTCTTAAGGACGGTCAAAAATGGGGTGTCTACATAGACTGTCACCTTTTTCATTTTCGTTTTTAATGGCACTTCTTTCTTCTCCTCAGCCTTCTCCTTGTCCATATAAGTTGCAGATACTTTTTTTTCTTTAGGTTCAAGCAGGAGTTTTTCTTCTTTTGTTGTTGTTGCTTGCTCCTAAGAATGGTTAAGGCTTGAGCTCTCTGAGGAGAGTCGTCCTGAGAAGTTCCAGCATAAAATAAAAGCCATAAGCAAATAAACGGATTATCATAAAATGAAAGGAAAAGGGAAAGAAGAAATGAGTACCTTTCTTCAAAGTAGCCTTGGTGACTCTAGGAAGAGAGGCTGACACAACAAGAGTAGGAGTTGGGATAGTAGGAGAGATAAGAGTAGTAACAGAAATCCCAGTCTCCTTGGGTTTAGCCTGAGAAGGCACATCTAACTCTACTAACAAATCCTTAGGGGAAATGGCCAGAAGCACCTCCATGTTGGCCGTCCACCAATTCTGGTACCTTTTCAATGCAGTGCCATATGGGATGAAAGGAGTGAATTGAAATTCGATCAAGTCTTGAATCAATTTGGAGGTTGCTTCCTCTAGCCTGGTTCTTTACACTTTCAGCTCTCTAGTGGCAAGATTTGGGTTAGTTTGGCTGGATAGAGGGATAAGGATCCCCTGAGTAAGCCCAAATTGCCTAGCAAATTGATCAGGGCAGTAGGCTTCTGCTATGCATTTTTGAGGGTGTAAAGTGCCAATAAAAAGCTCCCTTAGAGTTAAGATAGAAGCCCACATGTCCCTATGTTGAGGTTGGGAGCAGTCTCTGTCAGCTAAGAAGGTCCTCAACCATGCTGGGCCAACATTAGCTTCGAAGGGACAGAAAAAGGTGCGAGAAGTGAGGGAAGCTGGGAGTTGGTGGAAAAAAGTGAAGTAGTAAGCAAAGTTGGAAGGGTAAAGTGAAACTTTGGCGTATTTTACTTCACAAGTAGTAGGGTTTGGTACCAAAAATCTCAGACATCTAGAGCGTAAATTAGTGAAGTAGGAAAAGAGCCAAAGTTACAATATCTAGAGTGGCCCCCCTTGGTTGGTATCCAAAGGTTTTTACAAAACTGGGAGCAGACTTTATATATGTGGCCTAAAACATATGGAGCTAGGGCTATCTTTTTTTTTTAAAGCAAGAGCCTTGGCAAGAGGGGCAAACTCAGACATGATCCTCTGAGAAGAAGTGCAAAATAACAATTTGCAAAGCCAATATAGAAGAACTCTCGGTCTGTTACAAAGCCCTCCATTTGGTTTTCAGAATTTGCAAAATCGCTAAAGGAGGAGTTAAGACGGGGAATGAAAAAAGGCACGTTAAGGTCGGGGTAATTAGGGCAAAAATGAATGCCAATGGGGAACAACCTTAAGGGATGGCATATACCAAGAACAGTAGAGGCCATCATAACACATCAAAATTGAAAAAAAATTGAAAGATGGATTCCAAAAACAAAGTACAGCGGGTATAAGAAAAGGGTCTTTAGAAATAGAAAACCTGGTTAGTTGAAGGGCGTCGAGGAGACAGAACTCTTAAAGGTCCAACATCCTAGCAGCAACAACTTGATTGTACCATTCCTCCCATTCAGGCCTCAAGGTAGGCCAATAGCTGTGGGGTCGGTTCAACCTCCAGTTCTCCTAGTCAAGGCCACCCTCGTAAAGAAGGCAATGATTTTCTAGACGTAGGTATAAGGCAGGGAGCTGAGTAGGGGCTTCCCTGAAAATGGATCCAAGTACATATTCTCCTTGAGCATGGTGATGGGGAATGAGGATTCGTCCATCGACAGCACACCATTCACGGGCTCTGTATTTGTCACATTTCTCATTAATAAGTCTCCTCAAAGCCACAGATAGGCTCACATGCTCAACGACTGGTACTTTTAGAGGAGAAGAAGCCATTATCAAGGAGTTAAAAGAAGAAGGAGGATGAGGAGTGAAACCTTCCAGACAAGAGCAATAGGGGTGAGAAGGGAAATTTTGGGCAAATAAATAGGTAAAGCGCGAAGAAAAAGGGTTTTAAACCCTTTTGTCTAAAAAATTACCAAGTCGACCCAACGGGTCATTAGGACCCGAAATAAATTATTTGATGGTTTTGACTCGTGTGGAATTAAAACTCTTTTTAAAACACAAGGGGTCTCAAAACCACATCATAGAGAGTCTCTTTCAAGAGTAAGTTTTGGGAGGAAAGTATATTTTAAACGCTCAGCTTGGCTTCAAAAACCTGTAGTTGGCTTTGAAACCAGTTTCCTTCCAAGATCTTTGAAGCTTATGCCTTAGAAAGACATTAGATATGGCTTGTTCTCTTCGAAGGTTTTATAAGCATCCTCCTAGGACATTTTTATAAGGTAATATCCTTCGAAGGATTCTTTGGAATGCTTATCTTAAAGTTTTGGGTTCTGAAATAAATAAGCACTATAAAACCAATACTTGGTCAAGTAGTGAAGAAACCCAAAAGGCTTACCTTTACATGAAATTTCATCTTTGAATTTTCTATCTGAGAAAATTCTTAAGAGTGAGCAGTGTAGTTCCTAAGGAAAATTCCATATTTTGAAGTACTCAGATTGAGCTTCGAAGCAAGACTGGTTAATTCGAAGCTGTTATTTATACAGATTATGTTAACCATGCAATTGGAATGTAAAAAAATTAGGACAAAATTTCCTTTGCTTAAGAGAAGTTCCACACTTAGAAAACACTAAAGTTAGGTTTCAAAGCAAAACTTGGTTAAATTGGTCAATTCGAAGCTTTCGTAAACAAAGTAAGGAGTAAGGTTACATTAACCATACAATCAAGCATACAATTGGAATATGGAACCAGGCAATGCAAGTTGAAAAACCCAGTATATTAATGTACGAATAGTTACATGGGAGCCTATTTGGCTACAAATTCGACCTTGTAATAATAAGGAATAGAAAAGGTAACAAGATCATTAAATTTAACCCAACAATATTCTATGAAGTTGTGTTCTTTCTTTATTCTATCTTCTATTCTATCTAATTAGGTTGTTGCTGTTGGTATGCTCTTATTTGGTGAAAAAGCTGCTCAGTTTTCACCTCAAACTCTGTCTCTTTCAAACCTTGCTCCATCTCGTCCATATCTAAATCATCCCAGTATGCTGAGTCCTTGTTCTTGAAGGCATCATATTCTTCAAGAAAGTTCTCTGCCTCATATTGAGTTGGAGTTCAACTGGTTGAGATTTCATCCACGGAGTTACTGATGGCCAAAGAATTTTCATACCAATGAAGGAGGAGAGGAAGTTGTTCTAAAAAGGTATGGAGCTTTGTTTGGGCTATAGGATTGAGAATGTGTCCCTGGGTCATAATGTCACGGGCCCATTTGAAGTTCTTAAGAAGAGCCTTATCTCCTAGAACTTTGAAAGACAAATGAGAGAAGACAACAAGTAGAAGCTGAGCATTGTATCTCTCAAATGCTGTTGGAGGAACTAGAGGTTGGTAAGAAGAGAAATAAGGACCCTCGAAAAGGGTGAGTTTCAATTCCTCTACCTAGTGAGGATTCTGAGGAGGAGGGGGTGCAAAAGGGTCTATCCCAAAAGTAGGAGGAAACTGAGGGGTGTTCACGCATTCAAGCCAATCAGAAGAACAAAGCTTTGCTTTTTTGGCCAAAAGGAAAGGACTAAATCCAAGTGCTTCAATAGGACGAGGGTCTTCTGCATTATCTTTGGTAGCAAAGAGGAAGTGTACCATGCCAAAAGCAGGTTATCCTCTAGACAATGATGGTGGTTAATGGGTATGTAGGGATATACCACTGAGCTTCGAGAGGTAAGGGGTACCAAAAGGGGGTCATCAAATTCAACAAACCGGTAATGAATCCGTTCCCTTAATTAGGGTTTAACAGGTGTTGACCAGGCACCCCAGCCAGTGGCACCAGAGGAAGGAGAAGCAGCTTCATCCTATGCAGAAAGTTTTGGGACAGAGAAGGAATTTCCAATATCCATTTTCGGAAGTTCTTGGTCCAGATAATTGTAATTAGTAGATTCTTGGTCCAAAGGTTGATAATTTGCAAAAGTTTCCACAACTTGTATGAACGGGAACAGATAAATGTGGCTAATAAATGCATGAAGATTCTTTTGAGGGTGGTCATCATTGTGAAATGCCTTATCGTATGCTAGATCATATTTAAGAAAAGGTTGGTTTGGCCATTAGAAATGTATCAGTGTCTTCGTATTCGCAAAATATGGAAGGAGTATTTAAAGCATGAGGAAGGATTTAATGAAGGTCAGTGCTTTGTTTCTAAGAAGACGGTTATACTTCAGCCAAGTCCATGCACGTCCTAAGATATGGGCAAAGTGCACTGGCCCACTAATATCACCAAGTATTGGATATATCAGTGTGGGGGGTAATGTTTGCTACATATTTTGTATAAGCCAATCGCAACTTAACATGTGGCATGAAAAGGGCAATTTGGAAAATTAATATAAGTTGCCAATTAAAGTCGGACACATGGCAGTTTGTATTGGTAATAATGAATCTGTGTAGCACTAGAGCAGTCGAGAGACACAAGATGATGTGACCTAACAGTTACTCATAAATTTAAATTCAAAATCACAGGGAAGCCTAACTGCAAGAGTGGTGTAGTGGGACTGACTGTGAGAGAACATGTTTAGTAATCATGAGAGGACATTTCAACGGTTGGAAGCCCACTTTGACGGTTACCACTGGGAAGTATAAATAGTAAGGAATGCCCCAAAATGAAAGACCCAGTTTCAGATCTAGAAACCAATTTATTTACTTCGTCTTATTTCCTTCTGGTTTTTACATCTTCAGCACTTCAATTCCTGTACTGCACTTCATTTCCTAGGAGTAGTTTTTCAGTAGTTTGTTGTTGTGAACCTTGTTAAGGCTGGGTCATTGTAACTTCATTGTAAGTTTTTATTTGCTTAATGAAATTCAATTTTTGAATTATATTTACTTGTTATCATTCATAATTTTCTCCTAAACAAGCCACTAGTAAAAGTTCGCTTTATTTAAGTTGAAAGAATTTCAACACAATCACTTGATAATTGGTCTGCAATTATAAATTTTGTAAGGACTAATTGATCCTTACTGGCACGCTTAAATTTACATTATTAACCTTCGAAAATCAGAAAACCAACAATTTCACCTACCTTTTCTTTTTCACTTTTTAAATCTCTTCCCAAATCTTCTAATCAAACACTGCATAAATGGAACTTTCTCTCCTATTTTGGGAGTTTCTTTGTATTAATTATGTATGTTGATTTTCATTATTATGATTGTAATTCATTGGGGTTCACGGTAAAACCATATGTGAATCAAATAACAAAACAAAATCTGAAACAAGGCCCATTTTAACAAACTCTCATTTTTTTGGCTAGTTAAAATAATAATGGGATAGGTTCTACATCAGTACGAAAAAATTGTAAATTAAGAAAACACATTTAAACATGTATTAGCTTCTGCTCTCTCTCTCTCTTTTTTTTTTTTCCTTTTAAATTTTTAATTTTATTCAAATTCAAAATCTAAATACAATTTTATAAGATTAAGAGAACATCTTAGTTGTAGATAATTACCTGTTTGTTATTAGGATTGTTAGGAGCCATGAAGTAGTTCCCTTCACTAAAAATGGTAGGATTAGCACTTCCACCAGTTGCATACATCTGCCATTCATCATACTTGTTCTTGGCAACATGGGCATACCCTAGCCTTACCCTGCAATCCATTTAGATTATAGTATTAGATTTATTTGAAGCCCTTAAATTATTGGAAAATCAACTATAGCTATGATTAATTTGCCTTTCTAATTACCTTGGCATCCTTTGAATTAGATCACTTCCAAAATGGTTGAACGCTACTGTAATTCTCATATTCTTGTCTTCTGTATTGTAATCATTATGTCCAAATAACATAACCTACAAATTCAACTTGGTTAGAAGCCAACAAGATGGGATGATGGGAATGAAGTGTTTTCTAAACCTATGGGCAAGTTAGCACCTTGTGTAGGATCCATCAAAAAATTCATTTTTGTTGAAGGTCCAATTCGTCTATAAGGGCCTCATTATGGTGTTAGACCTAGAGAAGAGATATATTTGGGTATCTGAAAATCATAAATCTTATATATGAAAAATTCATTGACAACATAGCAGTGATATTTTAAAATTATGAGTTATAACTAATAGTGAGTGCTTTCATTTAAAATGAAAGAACTCACAAGGCCACATTATCTAGTATGAAAATTAAGTACAATAAAAATATGTTTGTATAAGACTACTCATTTGCTAACCAATTAAACTAGTTAATTTGGTCACCTACATATACATTTTCATATAGTCAGGGGATCAATGCTTGCTAAATGCAAAAATTAGTATGTTCTCCCCTATTATGGAACTTGATTTTACCATTTAAAAACAAAAAGCCCATTTAAATTTGTTAAAATTTAAAAAAGGCCAAATTATACTGATGGTCTCTACATTTGCCCATTGTGTCATTTTGGTCCTTACACTTTAAATTAGCCCAATTTTAACCTTTGATTTTAGATAATGTGTCAATTTGGTCTAATTGATAATGCCGTTAATGTTTTGATAGAAAATAATTACTAAATTGATTGAGATTAACTTACTGAATTGAGTAAATTTATAATTTTATTTTTAAAAATACAACACATGCTACTTATATATGTATTTTTTTATAAAAATGTCGAGAGTTGTAATTATCTTCGATCAAATTAAAATAAAGTCATAAATTTGTGATCAAAATTATGCTAATTAAAATTTACAAAAATCAAAATGATACAAAAACCAAAATATAAGAACTATTGGCGAAATTCGTCCTATAATAAAAAATGTTAATGTAATCATTTTAATAGACTTTTTGCAATCTAGTGTTTAACTTTTTTTTTTGATCGGCAAAAAAAGAAACTTTATTGATGAAATAAACAAGTACAATGTACAAGACACATTACATCAATAAAGGAAAGAGGAGTGCAAAAGCATCACAGTGAGCTAAATGATCCCAACTAGGTTGGCACCATCGAGTACACCCTATCATTTGCTAGCACCCCAAGTTGGTGAGAGATCAACGGAAAAAAAAAAAGGAAAAAGAACCAAACCAAACAATCGAAGCTAGTTTTAACTTGACCATCATTGAATAATACTGCATGACAAGGAACATGCACCAAAACAAACACACTGCAGCAGGATGGGACAGAAACACTGCAGACTCTATCCAATTCTGCCACCATCTCCTCCAACACCAACTCCAAGGTAGCCATAACTGCTGGCACCCAGAAATTCCATTTTGCACAAAATTTGAAGGGTTTTAGTGATCTATGAGCTCAGAAAGGGGCTCCACATTGACATGGTGTGCTGGGTTGAGGGAGAAAGCAATTGATAGCCTTTCTTTCTCTGAGTTCACCACTGCTCTGTGCTCCACACTCTGATATATCTCATTAGCCCAAGCCTCACTACCAAATGTAGTGAACACTGAAACAGCCTTCCCTTAAGTAAACAGAACCTCCATAGCAGACCAAAAACCTTCCACTAAAACACCATATCAGCCCAGCATACCTCACAAGCCACAGCCACAAAACAGAACAACAGTACAACATACAACAAGCAACAGAGCAATACACGAAGCAGCAAATATATCAAAACACCAGTACCACATAACAGAGCAATACACCATACCAGCAGTACAGCATACGAGCATAACAACATACAATCACACCATAGCAGAATTTTCCCACAGCAGCAGACAGAACCCAATACAAATCAGTGCAGTCAGCAGACCATGAACTCAACCAGAAAGAACTAGAACATAACAACATAACAACAGTTAGAACTTTGCCCAACTAAACTCATACTATTAAGTAGCCAAAACTTGAGATGAAGAACCAGAACAAACAGAGTAAACCAGTAAAATCAAAGATACCAGCCCAGTTAATGATTTGGAAACCCAACTCTGATTTGTCTCCAATTGTAGATTAAGTCAGCTACTGAGTAGGGAAGATCCTTTATAGATGCTTTTAGCCAGAGAGCTGACCTTATTTTGATAGAATCAATAGTTTTTGGAAAGTTGGGTATAGCCTCTGCAAAAATACATTCGTTTCTATGTTTCCAAAGCGACCAAAGGACAATATGTGGGATAGCTCTCCAGATTAACCTATCAAAATGCTTAAATTTGACACTCATCCATCATTGGAGAAGGCCATCAATTGAATCTTGGATGCACCAAGAGGGGCCCCCAATCTTGAATTATAGAGGACCAAATCTGCCATGAAAAAGAACAATGGAGCAATAGATGGGTAGCAGATTCAAATTCAAAGCTACAGAAGGGGCAACTGATGGGGATTGAAGAATCTAAAATATCGATCCTGCGCATAAATTCTGCTGACTTGATTTTATTCTTCTAGGCCAACCAAAAGAAAAAAGAAACCTTAGGAGGGACAACTCTGTTCCAAATATGTTTACAGATTGGAATACGTGGACCAAGGGTGAAATTACTCAAAGAGTAGAGGGAAGAAACAGAGAACTCACCAGAGCTTGCAGAAGCATTTGCCAAATAAGACAGTTAGCCCTGAGGAGAGTCAGAGAAGGGGGCTGAAGCTAGGACTCCAAGCAATCTAGTTTCTTCATGTAATTCCCAAGTGAACTGCACTCGTCTGATGGGAAAATTCCAATTATTTAGGCTGGTCTTTCTTGCAAAAAAGTTGATGAAGGGTGCCATCTTTATCAATTGAAAGATTAAAAAGGAGGGGAAAATCAATCTTAAGACAGGAGTTACCACACCACCTGTCATGCCAAAATTTAATTCTATTTCCGTCTCCTACTTTAATTTGGCAGTTGTCCACATAAAAATTGTAAATAATGCTATTATGATTTCCAATAGATAAGATGTCTTTCCGAACTCTAGAATGTTTGTAAGAGAATCTTACTGGTGGATACCAAGAAGTCTCATCTATCTTGTATTTGCTACATATAACCCTCCTCCAAAGTGAATTAATTTGAGTTCCAAATTTCTACCACCATTTGAGCAATAGACAAGCATTTACATCTTTGATTCTTCTAATGCCTAGGCCCCTTTGCTGATCGACGGTTGCTTCATACTCGAGCTTCTCTACAGGTCCTCTCTTAAAAATTGTTAAAAATTAAAGAAAATAGCTTAAAAATCAATAACTCTTATTCTTTTAATAATATCAATCATTTTTATATCCAAACTATTTAATTTTGCATTAGTTTTATTCCATCTTCAATTGCTATCTACAATCAAATAAAAAAAATTACTGATGTGTCACCCAAACTTAATTTGAAATTTTATTTTGCTCCCAAAATATTAATTAGATCAATAAATAAAATAAAATTTGGAGGTCTAATTAATATTTTAGAGATAATTTGGAGAGTAAAATGAAATTACAAACGAAATTTCGGTATCACTTCAGCAACTTTCGTTTGAGTCACTAATGGCGAGATAAAACTAATCTAGAATTAAATAATTTAAGTGTAAAATTGATATTACTAAAAAAATATAATGTGACAAAATGAAATTTCCTAAAAAAAAAATATGTAATATTGGAGACCAAAATACGAAAATATATCAATAAATAAGTATGGCCCCAACCCAACGTCACGAGTGGAATTTCGAGTACTAATTATTAAAAATTTAAGAGGTTAAATATAGTTAATTGTCAAAAAAAGGTAATAATGATCCTTAAATAACGGATAATGTTTGGATACATGTACTTTTAATAAGATTTTTAATAAAATATTTTAATACCTTTTTATGTCTGAGCTTTTAGTCCGAAAATTATTGAATTTTTAATAGAAGTTATAAGATCTACCTAAAGTAAAACTTATTTCATGTGAGCGGGCTAAATCTGGTTGCGTAATTAGTTTATGTATTCATACAGTTTTTTAACAGGTAAATTATACTAATATCTCTTGAGATTTGAAAAAATACACTAAGCTCTATAAATTTAACATAATCATATTGTGATCAGTTAAAGTTTCAATTTACATAGACATCATTTTCATTAGTAATTTGTTAGTTATATTTGAATATAAAATAATATGAAAAATAATTTAAAAAAAAAACTCAAGGCATTTAATAAAATAAACTTTTAATTTTTAATTTTTAATTTTATCAATTTAAACTCTAAAAGTTTTATTTGTTTTCAATATAAACCATTAACCTATTATGTTAAGTAAAATCAATCAAAAGAAATAATATTTTAGTTATTAAACTCAACATAGATGTAGACAAAATGTGTATAGTATTCTTTTTGAGAGATTTATTAGGAAATTCTTTTTTAAATAGTTGTATCTCAATTAGTTCATAATATATGTTTTTTATTTCAATAAGTCCTATTATTTATACACTTGATCCACCAAATTTTAATTTTCATATTTGAGGTATTTTATGAATAATTTTATCCTTATAAATATTTTTTAAACGGCTAGTAACTTGGTGATGTGAACATTCATATTTTACAATGTGAATATTTGCATTGACGTGTGAATGTTCACATTGACGATACGAACATTCACATTGTCAATGTGAATATTATTATTAAGGATGTTTTGGTAACTATGCCTTTAATAATTAAAATATCATTTTTTCCATCAGTTTTACTTAACAAAAATAAGTTAATTGTTTATATTGAAAACAAATTAAAATATTGAAGTTTAAATTGATCAAATTAAGGACAAATTACATCATCGGTCGTTATATTTTACCCATTGTGTCATTTTGATCCCAATATTTTTAATTGGCTCAATTTTGACCCTTAATTTTAAATAATGTGTCAATTTGGTCTAATTGATAATGCCGTTAATGTTTTGATAGAAAATAATTACTAAATTGATTGAGATTAACTTACTGAATTGAGTAAATTTATAATTTTATTTTTAAAAATACA